AATTTTGCCGATCCCTGATTTACAAGACTGGAATTTCCCAATTGTGTTGGCGCGATGGGAAATATATATAAATTCAGGCACCACCAAATTCCGGCAGTCTATACTAATTATCTATACTAATTATAAAAGAAGCTTTAGTATTGCTATAGCTGCCTGTGCCTATAAATATAAATTTACTTTGGTAGATGTTGGTGCATACGAGTGAGTCTGATAGTGAAATATTTGCTGAATCGAATCTGTCACTTCGTGATGGTCTTTGAATTTACCAATGGGAATTGCAAAATTACCTGGTTCTGAATTGCAAACACCATATTTCTTTGTCTCAGACGATGTCTTTGCTCTTACAAAAAATATAATGAAACTATATTCAAAAAGACATCTTAATAATAAAGAAAAAAATCTTCAATTATCGACTCTCTCACGCTAGACGCACTATTGAAAATACTTTTGGTATTTTGTCTGTTCGGAGAATTTTTCGGAAGCCAATTGCTATGAATCCTTGTATTGCTGATAGTATTGTTATAAGTGCTATTTGTTTACATAATTTTATAAAATCAAAGAACGACGAGCAAATTATATCAAAAAGAATGTATTGTCCTCCAAATTTTATCGATTAGAAGAAGAGGAAAATGGCAATCTGATGCCAGGAACTTGGAGATCTGTACCAATATGCGAACTATAAGAAAAGGGCTTTCTTGACGAGCTGCGCGAGTTGCATTTCGAAGAGATATTTTAGCACAATATTTCTTAACTCCAGAAGGCGAAATGCCGTATGAATATATTCACAGAGAACATTATGCTGCCTAGATTTTGATAATGCCTAGACTTAAATTTAACTTAATATTAAAATTATATTTATTAAAAGGAGCGATTGAAATCATTATTGTATGTACTTTTATAAATATTATTATTAAAAGTATTATTTTTTAAATAAATATTACATTCACATAGATAGAAAGTACAGCTACATAATTAATTGAAACTTATACAAACATAAATAAAAAAATTTTATACAGACATAAATTAAAATTCTTAATTAAAAGTTCAACATAACACAATCTTTTAGCACACAATCTTTAGCACACAATCTTTTTTAAATAAAACTATTGAAATTACTTTGTGACTAAAACATTTAAATTGCACAACAATAATTGTGAAACATAAATAGCATTATTAATCCGCCCACATATTTGTATTTTTATTTTAAAAATTAAAAAGGAAAAAATTTATTCAGAGTATTAGTTAGATAATATTATATATCGATTATCTTTTTGCGTTTCTTATCTCTTATGGAAACTATACAAGACGGGATGCAATAAATTTAGCATTGCACA